CGGAAGATCTTATACCATTCCAGACAGAGGGTTGTCCAATCTCTTCTTGAAAAACCTCCCTTGATGGAGCATCCGCAGTTTCTGGAGGCAAGTTGTTCCACTGGTTGATCGTTCTCACTGTCAGGAGATTTCTCCTTCGTTCTAGATTGCATCTCGCCTTGATTAGTTTCCATCAATTGTTTTTTTGACTTGCTTTCTGGTGCTTTGGAATGGGATAGAAAAGGAATGGAATGAAATAGAATATAAAAAATGGAATGGAATATAAAATGAATGGAATAGAATAAAATATGGAATGGAATAGAACAGAAAAGAAAACATGGAGTGGAATGGAATAGATTAGAATATAAAATATGGAATAGAATACAATATGAAATACGGAATGGAATGAAATAGAATTGAAAATATGGAATGGAATGGAATAGAATAGAAAATGGATGCAATGGAATGGAATAGAATAGAACAGAAAAGAAAACATGGAATGGAATGGAATAGAATATAAAATATGGAATAGAATTGAATAGAAAATATGGAATTGGATGGAATGGAATAGAATAGAAAATATGGAATGGAATGGAACAGAAAAGAAAACATGGAATGGAATAGAATAGAATGTAAAATATGGAATGGAATTGAATAGAACGGAAAAGAAAATATGGAATGGAATGGAATAGAAAATGGATGCAATGGAATGGAATAGAATAGAACAGAAAAGAAAATATGGAATGGAATAGAATCGAATAGAAAATATGGAATTGAATGGAATGGAATAGAATAGAATAAAAAATATGGAATGGAATGGAACAGAAAAGAAAACATGGAATGGAATGGAATAGAATATAAAATATGGAATGGAATTGAATAGAATGGAAAAGAAAATATGGAATGGAATGGAATAGAAAATGGATGCAATGGAATGGAATAGAATAGAACAGAAAAGAAAATATGGAATGGAATAGAATCAAATAGAAAATATGGAATTGAATGGAATAGAATAGAATAAAATAGAAAATATGGAATGGAATAGAATAGAATGGAATAGAAAATATGGAATGGAATAGAATAAAATAGAAAATGAATACAATGGAATGGAATAGAATAGAAAATATGGAATGGAATGGAATGGAAAGGAAAAGAAAATGAATGGAATGGAATAGAATAGAATAACAGAGTTGGAAGGGATCTTGGAGGTCTTCTAGTCCAACTTCCTGCTTAGACAGGAAACCCTACACCACTTTAGACAAATGGTTGTCCAAACTCTTCTTAAAAGCATCCAGTGTTGGAGCAGTTACAACCTCTTGTGGCAAGCAGTTCCACTGGTTAATTGTTCTAACTCTCAGGAAATTTCTCCTCAGTTCTAAGTTGTTTCTCTCCTTGATGAGTTTCCATCCTTGCAATTCATCCAGGTGGATTTTTCTTTTTCTTTTTAAATTTTTCCAAACCAGTGATCCGCTGGGGATTTTCTGGTGTTTTCTTTCTTCCCCAGTTTTGCTGACTTTCCTAGATAGGGAGTTTTCCCCCCCCACCCAATGATATTCTACAGAATTACGGGATCCTTTAAAAACTTGATGGGGTTTTTCTGAGAAACTTCGGGTGGGAAACCCCCCCCTCCCGCCAAATCTCCCAAAATTAACCGGAATCCAACAATTTTGGAACCACCCAAACTTTGCTTCTTGACCTGAGATTTCAGGATTTTGAAAAAATATATATTTGACGAAGTTTCCGTAAAAGTTTGAGAAAACCCCGTTCAGGGTCAGTTGAGTTGAGTTCAGTTGAGCTAAGGGCTGGCTGTTCTTCCATGGAGCGTCACTTGGAACCAATCGGAATATCACAGCGGCCGTTATTATTATTATTATTATCCCCCCCCCCCTTTTCTGCTGGGAAACTATTAAAAAAAATGTTTGCGCTGGAAAGTCCCGAACAAGCAGAACATCTTCATCAATGCACAAGGTGTGAAGGATTTAATTTATGGCTCTTGGTTTTGGTACCAATGGGAGTTGCAGACAACAATGAATGCCTTCCATTGCAATTGAGACACGTCTAAAGAAGAATCAGAGGCTCCTAGAGCTGGGAAGGGACCTTGGAGGTCTTCTAGTCCAACCCCCTGCTCAAGCAGAAGATCTTATACCATTTCAGACACATGCTTGTTGAATCTCTTCTGAAAAGCCTCCAGTGATGGAGCAATCACGACTTCTGTGGTGGCAACTTCTGTTCCACTGGTTAATTGTCCTCACTGCTAGGAAGTTTCTCCTTAGTTCCACGTTGCTTCTCTCCTTGGTTAGTTTCCATCCATTGTTTTTTGTCCCGCCTTCTGGTGCTTTGGAGCCCTTTCTCTGGAAAACTGCTGTCATATCACCCCTGGTCCTTCTTTTCACTGGACTAGCCATGCCCAGTTCCTGCAACCGTTCTTCTCGTATGTTTTCAGCCTCCAGTCGCTGAATGCAAAGGTGTTTTCTTTAGTGCTGAATGTGAAAGGCCTATTATGATCGCAAATAAAGTTCTCCAAATTAGGCACAATCCAAGCCAGATCATTTAATCTGCATTTGTGATCCTTGTAGATTTGGATTACCAATTCGGTTTCTCTCTCTCTCTCTCTCTCTTTCTCTCTCTCTTTTCTTCCTTTCCTTCTTTCTTTTTCCTTTCTTTCTTTCTTTTCGTTCTTCTTTCTTTTTTCTTTTCTCCTTCCTTCCATCTTCCTTCCTTCTCCTTCATTCCTTCTTTCTTTTTCTTTCTTTCCTTTTTTTTCTTCTTTTTTCTTTTTTCTTCTCTCTTTCCTTTCTTCCATCTTTCTTTCTTTCCTTCCTTCCCTCCTTCCTTCCTTGTTTCTTGTCCTTCTTTCTTCTTTCTTTCTTTCTTTTCCTTTCCTTTTTCCTTTTCTCCTTTCTTCCATCTTTATTTCATTCTTCTTTCTTTCCTTCCTTTCTTCTCCTTCTTTCCTTCTTTCTTTTTCTTTCTTTTTCTTCTTTTTTCTTGTTTCTTCTCTCCTTCCTTTCTTCCATCTTTCTTTCCTTCCCTCCTTCCTTCCTTCTTTCTTGTCCTTTTTTCTTCTTTCTTTTTTCTTTCTTTTCCTTTCCTTTTTCCTTTTCTCCTTCCTTCCATCTTTATTTCATTCTTCTTTCCTTCCTTCCTTCCTTCCTTTTTCTTTCTTTTTCTTCTTTCTTCTTGTTTCTTCTCTCCTTCCTTTCTTCCATCTTTCTTTCCTTCCCTTCTTCCTTCTTTCTTGTCCTTCTTTCTTCTTTCTTTCTTCTTTCTTTCTTTCCTTTTTCCTTTTCTCCTTCCTTCCATCTTTATTTCATTCTTCCTTCCTTCCTTCCTTCTTTCTTCCCTCCCTCCCTCCCTCCCTTTTTTATCCATCCATCCATTCATCCAATTTCTATAGCCATCCACCTTTTTCCCCCCCTGGGAAAATTGATCTGATTTGGATGTTCACACTAAATCACCAAATCGAGTCTAATCAAACGGAATCTCTGCATTCAATTTGTTCCATTTGGATTCTGATCCCATTTGTAGGTGGAGGGGGTGGGGGTGGGGAGAAAGAAATGTCACCCATGCCTGAAATTATCTGAAGCGGTCAAATAAATTTAGAAGCGTTTGATTCAATTACATCATTAAGAGGACTTTGGGATCTGCTCCAGAAGCCCAGTCTGTTCACAAATCCAGCTGAAGAGTTGAACTTTGAGTTTAATTATTTGCATGCTCCGAAACTTCTCCCTGCCTGCCAAGATGGAAGACAGACCGGATCCCAAAACCTTTGGCTGGAGATGTGCAAAATATCCCACTTGTGTTCTTCTCCGAAGCTCTTCTTGTTTACAGGAATTCATGCACAAGGACACTTATGCTGATCGTCTAAACAGCTGGATTAGGCAATGCAGTTCTAGGCTGCATCAACAGAGGGACGGAATCAAGATCACGTGGACTGTTAATGGCACTTCATAAGGCCTTGGCAGCAATCGCAGTAGCACTTGGACTTATATACCGCTTTACAGCCCTCTCTAAGCAGCTTACAGCCCCACAACAATCTGCGTCCTCATTTGACCCACCTCGGAAGGACGGAAGGCTGAGTCAACCTTGAGTCTGGTGGGATTTGAACTGTCAAATTGCAGGCAGCCGGCAGGCAGCAGAAGTAGCCTGCAGTACTGTATTCTGATAGATGATAGAGATAGATAGATAGATAGATAGATAGATAGATAGATAGATAGATAGATATAAATAGATAGATAGATAGATAGATAGATAGAGATAGATAAATAGATAGAGATAGACAGATAGATAGATAGAGATAAATAGATAGATAGATAGAGATAAATAGATAGATAGATAGAGATAAATAGATAGATAGATAGAGATAAATAGATAGNTACATATATACATATATAATTTATACATATATACATACATATACATATACATATATACACACACACAAACACTCTTTTCATCTATTCATATGGTAATTTATGCTTATATTTCTTCTATACACATTACTCTTTCAATGTACTTATTTCTATACATCTCCTATCATTCTATGTACATATATTCCTCTGACAACTATTATTCTGTACTATTTTATATACAATCTATCTTACATTTTTTCCCCCTTCTTCTTAATTATGCGGCTTTAAGATCGTTTTCTAATTTCTTAAATCTTTTTTCCCTTTAATGCTTTCTTATTCTTTACATCTTTCCTCTAACCATTTGTTCCATAAATTCCATACTATGCAGCATTCAGATTCTTCGTTTTTTTATTTCTTTTGTAAATCTGTCCATTCTAATACCTTTTTTTAAAATCACGTTTTCTTCTGTTGGTGCATTTTTGTTTTTCCAGTTTTGTGCGTATATGATTCTTGCTGCAGTTACTACATCCAGTATTAAGCATTGAATTTGCCCCCCCTCATAATTCCCTGTAATTATCCCTAATAGAAATAGTGGAGCACAGTTCCATCATTCCCCACCCAGCCGACCCACCACCCTTCGCCCAGGTTCCGCCCCAAGTCTTTCCTTGCCTAGAGGTATCCTCTTTCGCCTCACGAGATCCACCAGATCCTCCGTGGCCAAATCTGATGTTTGAAGAAACGTCCCGTGTCCGATTCGGTCCGGAGAAAGACCCAGAAGCAGCCGAGTTTCGTCCTCCTGTTTTGGGATCTGGAAATAAAGACGTGTTGTGAGGTTTTATGACCCAGCTAGGCAACATCATCGATGCTAGGCACTGTGTGACTTACCCCTTTGCCTTCTTCGAGATCTTCTACTTCTCAATCTAGTCCACCAACTAGAAGAGTGATCACCAACTGGTGGTCCCTGGTGGACCCCCTGGTGGTCTGTGAGGAAATTTTCGTGGGCTGCAGAAAAATTATTGGCATTTTTTACACTGCACTAAATCAGGGGTCCTCAAACTACGGCCCACCTGGGATGGATAGTTGGAATGGACGCTTGTGTTGTCAGGTTTCCGAAAGATGCCCTAATTAATTCACGAGCCTTAAGCCAAGTTTCAAAAGAAAACCAGTCATTTATTAGGAAATCCTGGCAACTTGATAACAGACATGCCAACGCTTTATGAGTTAAGGGTTGCTGTAGAGTTTCCCCCTTTCGGTGTCTTTTTGTACATGTCGGAGGGGGGCAGAAATTCTGACTTGGGGTCTGCGTCAGACTCCTGGTGGGGGGCTTTGGGCGAAGGCTGGAGGGAAGCACCGCTGGTGGCGAAGAGCCGGAGGGCCTCATTTCACTGGGACTGCATCATGGCCTGGAACTGGCTGACCATCTCAGCCCACTGAGCCTCCAGGCGCTGGTCCCTGGCCTTGCACACCCACAGGTCTTCCCTCTGC